TATGATAACGGATTTTTCAATTTTCCTTCCATACTGTCATCTTTTAGTTTTATATCTTCTCATTCTGTTCAATACAAAGAATTGGAAACTATTTAGCCTGTAAAAGGATTTTTTATCTATTCTTTATTTAGAGTCATGCACTTTTCCAAACAGCATTATTTTATATTGCCTTTTTTGTTGTTGTTGTTGTTCCAGAGACTTTTTTTTACATCCTAGGGACATGCATCGAGGTAAACTTTTGGGTGGGTAAAAGATAAGGACCGCCTCCCCCTCTCCCCCCTTTAAAGAGTGAGAAGAGAAATTTTGAAAGAAGAAGCTGGAATTTAGAACTGGAGTGATACCTGGCGAGCATATCAGTTTTAGAAAAGAGAAATGTAGAAAGTTGAGAATTTAGGGGTTAATTTTTTGAACCCTCTGTGTCCACATATACTTTGGAAGATTTTCATGCATTCTCAGGTGTATGTGTACCCCACTTTGAAGTTTGAAGTCTGTTGTCCATTATACAAGCTGAAGTACATCCTTTAGAAATTCTGTATTGACAGTAGATTTAAAGTAAAGAATGTGTTGAGATTGTTACTGAAAGTTCGGCACTTACCCCAAGGCCTTACTGATTTGCCAGCAAATGAGGAGGTTGGCAGACTCCTGTCCCAAAGTACCAATCTCCTGCTTCTGAGCAGAACTACTGAGGTTTTAAAGGTTCTGATTCATCCCATCTTTGACTAAGACAATCTTGTAACCTCCCCCTGAACAATTCCCTTGAGCCATCTCCTGTGGGACAGAGAACAAAGGACACTCCCCTACTCCCCCTGACCACTGGCCCGAGGCAGGGCTATAGGTTTTAGTTCTCAAAAAGGGTGAGGGTTTTGAAGAGACAGAAAACATTTTTACCCTTTTTCAGGCCATTTTTTTCTGTTACAATATAGAGAAAAATTACCACCTAAATAATAGTAATGGCTTATGTAAGATACAGCAAAATGACTTTTGTTTGTGAAATGTTACCTCCATATTTTATAGATAGGGAATCTAAAGCCAAGTAGGGGAAACATTCATAAAGTTATGTAGTGTTTTTAGGTTAGAATCCTAGAACTCTGACTTCCTGTCGCCACACCTTCTTTTTCCTCTTCTCTTTCTCTCCCTCTTGCTTTTTCTTCCCCTTCTCTCTCTTTTTTTTTTTTCATAAAAACAAACCAGGTATTAAATACTCCTGATTACAATGTCAAACATTATTAACCAGGTTTATAGCAAAAATCAGCAGTCCCTGATTTCATTACTTCCTATCCCTCCCTAGAAACAATTTTTTCAATTTTGAATTGTTTTTATTTACTGCTGTATTTCTAAATAAATTTTCTATACCATTCTGTTTGGAACGGCTTATGTCAAGAAACTTTTCTTCCCTCCAACTGCCAGATGTTCTTTCGTTGAGAAACTAATGTAGAGTTAACTGTACTTAGGAGGATGGACTCATAACTAAACTCAGAAGGATCAAGTTATTCATTTACAGTGAAGTATTTAAAGATTAGTTAGGTTAGTTGTTTACATAGGTCTGCCCAGCGCATTTTCTCCCAGTTGGAAAGCTATCTAGCATGCTGTATATCAGAAAGGTACTAAAGCATGGAATGGGAACAAAAAGAGTTAAGTATATGATTCACATGTTTAATTGTATTAGACTCTGGTCAGACATTTGCTTCCATTTTCATAATAGGGATAATTTTTTTTGGACTTTTAGAATAAAAAAAAAATTGCAGAGAAGGATAGGAAAATAAAGAAAATCAGTGTTTTATAAAAATTTGAAGCATTTTCCATGTCCGATAGCAAATATGCTCTCTTGAGACAATTGACTATGAACCAGATGGGACAAACATGACAGAAACTTGGTATAGTGTGGAATACTGAGAGCGGAGACTGATTCTAAATATCTATGTGTTTTTCTTTTTTCTAACTATATTTCTTTTCACTTTTTCTCACACCAGTTTTTGTATCTGAAAATGGGAGAATTGGGCTAAATGATCATTGTATCTTTTTTGGAAGTTTTGACATTTGTAAAAAGTGTTTAGGGAATTAACTTCTTGGACTTCTATTTTTAGTAATGAGTTTAATGACTTTAGAGGATTACTTTTATGTTCAATTTCTGAGACTGTTCTAACAGGACATTATATGGCTAGACATTTGGGTACAATTGGT